ATGATCAGATATAGAGAGACGTATGAGATGGTACAGAAGAAGAAAACAAGTTACTCAATTACTTAAAAACACAAATATGCTTCAGCAGAGGAAAGACAGGCTTAGACAAGAGATCACTGAACCAGAGCAAAAACTAAGGATGTCATACTTAACAGAAGTACAAAGGGAACAAAGGGCCATACAGGATATTGCAAGAAACCCAAAATATTTCTATTCCTATGCAATATCCAAGCTAAGACCTACCTGTAAAATTAGACCACTACTGAAAAGAGACTCGTATACTGAAGATGAACAGGAAATGAGTGAAACCCTAAAAGAACAGTACGAGTCGGTGTTCAGCAACCCACTAAATGACAGCAAGGTAGACATGCAGAAATATTTTTCATTCCAGTAGAAGGCCGCGCAGACCAACTAACTGACATTAGTATAAATCCCATAGATTTCGAGAAATGGACGACACGCCCACTCAGCACCTGGACCAGATTCCTGGAATGCTCTATTTATAAAGAAGTGTGAAGTACCATTAGCACGAGCACTCGGCATTCTTTGGAGAAATAGCTTAGATCTAGGTGAAATACCGGAGGACTTAAAGAGTGCAGACATAGCCCCTTTGCATAAGGGAGGCAGTAGAGCACTAGCTAAAAATTATAGACCAGTAGCCCTAACTTCTCACATCATAAAAATCTTCGAAGGAGTGATGAGACGGCAGATTATAAATTTCATGGACCAGCACAACCAGCATAAGCCGAACCAGCATGGTTTTAAAGCAGGACGATCGTGCCTCTCACAGCTGCTGAACAATTATGACATAATTACGGAGGCATTGGAAGATGACCAAAACGCAGATGTGATTTACACAGATTTTGTAAAGGCGTTTGAGAAATGCGATCATGGAGTGATAGCGCACAAAATGAGGTCCATGGGCATTACGGGGAAAGTAGGCAGATGGATTTTCGGGTTCCTAACGCACAGAATACAAATAGTAGTGAACAGGGCAAGATCCAGCATCAGCGAGGTCAAAAGTTCAATGCCCCAAGGCACTGTCCTGGCACCTCTGCTGTTTCTCATCCTCATAGCAGACAGATAAAAACACCCGGCACACTTTTGTGTCATCATTTGCAGATGACACTAAAATAAGCATAAGTCACTACGGTAGAGGACACGGAAAAAGTACAGGAACAAATACAGAGATCGTTTACGGCTCGCATTGAGCCTGTAAAGCACCTAAACTACTGGGAACACCTTCAAGTCTTGAACACATATTGAAGCGGAGGAGAGATACATGATATATACATGGAAAGTACTCGAGGGCTTGATCCCGAATCTGCACACTGCCATAACATACTGGAGTGAGATATATGGGAGGAAGTGCAAAATAAACCCAGTGAGGAGCAGGGGTGCAGTGGGGACAATAAGGGAACACTGTATCAACATCCGGGGTCCCAGACTATTCAACATCTTACCAGAAGATATCAAAAACATGGCTGGAATAAGTGTAGAAGCCTTCAAGAGAAAACTGGACAAGTATCAACTGGTGCCAGATCAACCAGGCTGTGATGGATATGTGGGGCAGCGGGCCACCAGCAGCAACAGCCTGGTTGACCAGGCAAGCCCCGGCGAGCCTGGCCCATGGCAAGGCTCAGAGAGAAACTCTCAAAACTCTTCAAAGGTATATCAAAGGATCCTTCGCCCTGGGCCATATTTGCATTTCCTCGCCTATCAAGCAGTATGCATGTGAATACTAGTATGAATATAAGCATTTATGCATGTACATGTGAACATGTTCACATATGCATATAAGTACACTTAGCATATGCATTTGCATATATTTATGCATATGCACATGAATGCATATACATATGTACACCCCTGCACGTGTATGATTGCTTGTATGAATGCATACAGATGTGTGTGCATATGTATACATAGGTATAGCAATATGTGCTAAAGTGTATATGTGTATACGTATGTCTGTGTGTATGCCCACATGTAAGCATGTGTGTGCGAATATGCTCAAGTATATGCTCGAGTATATATAGTATTCTTTTGTACGTATAGTATGCTTCATACGCACAAACATACTACACGCCCACAAGCAATCATACACAAGCATACTGTATGTACAGTATGTGTATGCTTGTAAAAGTATGTGCACATATATTTGTGCACGTGCAGCATGCTTGTGTACATATATTTGTGTGTAATGCTTGGTACATACAGTACGAGTGTTCATACATATGCTTGCATACATACGTACGTACACTACACTTGTGTATTTACAGTATGCTTGCTTTTGTATAGAATATTTGTGTGGGTTTGTGTATGTATGTTTATATGCGTCCAGTATTCTGGTATGTATGTATACTTGTGTATGTACAGTATGCCTGTGTGTAGGCGTACGTTTATGCATGCCCATGGGTATATTTTTGTATGCCTGTACTGGTATGTTTATGTATGTCTGTATGCAGATGTAGCCTTGTGTGCATATGTTTGTGCACACGTCTATACATAAGTATGCGTGAGTAAAAAATGAAGGGCACAATACCATGACTGGAACAATACACAAATAAGCCGCACATACGACACAAACTTACGACGACTGAAACGTCGTTATACGACACAAACTTACGACGACTGAAACGTCGTTATAATTTTCAGTCTTCAATTTACGGGTTATCTGTGTATGCGTGAGTACGTGTGCATAAGTTTGCGCGAGTACGTATGCGTGAGTACGTGTGCATAAGTTTGCGCGAGTACGTATGCGTGAGTACGTGTGCATAAGTTTGCGCGAGTACGTATGCGTGAGTACGGGTTCGTAGATACGTATGCTTGTAAATACGTTGGAGTACATGTGCTTGTGAGTGCGCGCGCTTATGCATATGGATGCTTGAATATGCACAAGTGTGTGTGCGTGAGCTTATGCATATACATACGTATATATCCGCACATGTATAAAGACAAATGACGGTGATACATGGAGAGTGATTCCCGTAAAGTTAACTTAAAAAAGGCAGGCGAGTCTTATTTTCAGGCTGTTTGTTCTCCTGTTTATTCATGGGAAACCCATTTATTCATGGGTAACTCTCCCGAGTTATTCTCCTATGAACAACTTGTTTTAAAGTAAATATTTAATATTTCTCATAAGATTCAGATAAAATTATTTCCTAAATGGCTAAAGGAAATTAATGACAAATTACATGTAGGTTTGAAATGTTTCGAGTCTTGAAATTCCAGCTTCATGGCACAATTTAATAGTTCAGAAAAGTGTGATACTTTAAAAAATATATTTATAGTTAGGAAATTGATGGCTACAACGTCCACTTAATTAATTTTCCTCTAAGTTTATTTAGGTACAGGTACGCATAAATACAGTCAGAATTATCATATATAGTAACGTGTGTAAATTACTTAGGTTAACCCAAAATACTAAGTGACTAACTTCCAAAGTTTGAAGTGGACTAAATGGCATTTTCCAGTTCACACTGAATCCAATGATCCCACTTTTAACCCATGCTAGTATAACGGCAAATTCGCATCTACCTGGAGGTTACCGAGTCCAAGATAAATGACCTACATTAGCGTTAAGGGTTTGAAGCCGACCTGAAAAAGAATGCTCCAGTTCGTGAACAGGAAAACAGTATCGCAGTTTGATGAAATATGAAAAATATGACTCAAGCAGTGCAATAATGTTAATCTTCCACTCGGCAAAATACGCATACACTCTTAAAATTTTGAAGTCGACTACTAAAGTCTCCAGTTATCGCACGGAATGTAATGGTAGTTTTTTTTTTTTTTTAAAGTACAGTATGCACCTACACAACGAAAACTTAAGAGGTAATCATCCTTCTTTCTTCTAGGTAGTATACGCCGGTACTGAAAGCTTGAAACTGACCAGCAAAAGATTTCTCAAATTAGTATAACTATTTAAGCACAAGTACACATAAGTACAATTATCATAAATAGTATAAATTACCTTGGATAACCTAAGAAACCTCTGCCAAAGTGGTTTATTTCCATTGGTGTCCTTGTTATCCCATATAAATCAAAACCGGAAACGATCTACCTGGAGTGTTCTGCTTGTGTGTAAATACTATAATTTTTTTTTATAAAAAACTTGGGGCACATGTTATGGACCACAATAGAAATATGTAACTATCTGACTTTTTGGGGTTAACCTAGGTAATCTACACATATTCTGCTATGCATGATCATTTATTTAACTATGTGTACCTATACCTGAATAAACTTACAAACAGCACAACATAGATTTAATCTAGGATAAACCAATAGGATTAATATGACGTATTTCTATTGGTCTATATAAAACCATAGGTCACTTGCACACGCCATCAGTTGCATGAACCTTTTTCTAGTTACAGTACACAAGCGTTGAAAATTTTAATCTGATCGGATGAAGCGTTCCCCAATTATAAACTAAGCAACCACCATAAGTTACTCCCACTTGGACGATACCTAACTATGCTACTATTGCAACCACTGTTAACTACAGGTTTGATCATATGTAGTGAACCTGAACACAGCTCAAGTGAAACCTCACACTAATATCTACAGCACTTTAATACATAAATAGGAAGAAATAGTACAACGAATCCTGGGTGTGAGTGCTCTGTATTAAAAAAGAAATCTGTATACTCACTTAAATCCACGAATTGAAACTATCTCAAATACGGATTAAAATAGCGTGTATGCGTGTACAAATACACCTCTGTGAAAGTGCCCTGTTAAAAAGAGATCATTCGTGGTCTGTAGTCTCACTACACGTGTATTGCTAGGTGTATCACACTGAGTTTACTCTATTTATACTTAAAGGTTAGAAAGAAGCTAGATTGTGGCTTTAAATAGTACAGTGTATAGGCTTTAATGCGGTGCCGCGGTGGCTGTGGCCTCCAGATGTCACCACAACCTTCACACGTCTGGGAAACCACAGCTGCTGCATAGAACACACCTGTAACAACTCACACTTGTTATATCTTACTCACCAGAGAGAGCGAGGAGAGAGCCATGCAGACCACGAAGAACATCACTGACTTCCCCCATCTTTGTCCAAGATACCGGGATAATGGGGGGTCCGTGTCCATGTTGAAACAAAAGTATTTTAAGTCCGCTAAGGTGGTCTACGTCCACGGAATAACGTCTGCTAACGATGCACTACAACGCCCAAGTCAATAACATCCGCTCGTGGGGAAAACAGCTACAAGTGTGTGTGAGTAAGCAGCAAAACACACAATGGTAGTGGCAGACACAGCAACAAACGTGCACTCGTCTAGGAGGTGCGAGCACTACTGAGTGCGCACGCGTCTTGACGTCAGATTTACGTCATTACTCACGCATGTTGCTGCCATCCTCAAACATCATCTTCATTTTCTCCCTTTAACCGTATATTGCAATATATCCACTTGACGTACAATTGTACGTCCCTGAAACATGACGTCACCACAGATTAAGTGTGTCTGACATATGCAATAAAGTGAAATAAAAGATAGATGAATTCTTCACCGTGAATCTAGAGAGTAATAATGTAAGAGAGAAGCGTACGATAACACGAATGTCAGTAAATAAACCAAGGGATACCAAGTGCTATATCCCTAAATTAATGAACCAAGGGATACCAAGTGCTATATCCCTGAATTAATGAACCAAGGGATACCAAGTGCTATATCCCTGAATTAATGAACCAAGGATACCAAGTACTATATCCCTGAATTAATGAACCAAGGGATACCAAGTGCTATATCCCTGAATTAATGAACCAAGGGATACCAAGTGCTATATCCCTGAATTAATGAACTAAGCGAAATGAAATATCGCACCATTGATTAGACAGTATTATATCGGTTAATATTCATTTCCAGTTATTATTATTGTAATTATGGGGAGCGCTAAACCCGTAGGATTATACAGCGCACGTGGAGGAGGGAAGGAAGGTACTCAGGCTTAATTCAGGGAACCGGAGCACAGATCCAATACCCTAGATCAAGAGCCCCTCACCAGAGCAACCACCGTGAAAAAAATGGTGAAATTCCATAAAATAACTGATATAATTAATAAAATAATAATTAATGCTAATAAATAATAATAATCTTTGGGTCTTCCTGTTCATAATATGAGCTCTTCTTAATCTATACTTTTTATATCGTTTATAAAATGCGACGACGTTATCTTAACTCGTTTCCTGGTATCAGCCAACGAGGGCAAGACTGGCTTATGGTTCAGTGATAGTGCGTTCACCTCACATTCCATGGATCCGGCTTCATTCCTGGGCCACGTTTACTGTCATGTGGGTTTTCGATACGTGGATGGGTAAAAATACTCACGTAGGCTGGTAGTACGTATAATATATAACGGGAAGTATGGGAAGCGCCAACAGCCGACCTGTCTCTCTCTGCTGGCTAACTACGACTGACCCATAGTGCCTACGGGTGAGGGTGTTTGAAATCCTGCTATGGTCAACAGCAATATGAATACAGTCAATGATTCACACAGACAGTTGGTAGTGAGTCATCTACTGGTACACTGGTTACTGGTAACTGGTTGCTAGGAACTGGTACTACTACTGAGATTACTTGCTCCTGTCCACCTTGCGGTAAGATGTTACATGGTTATCAGCAGACAGACGTGGGTAGCATTCTGGGCACTGGGACAAAACTTACCCTGCTTGGGTTCTTCAGTTGTCAGGGTTACTATTTCAGATAATGTTGCTGTACTTGTTCTTATCGACAGTGGCATTGTTGCTGTTGTTGTTGTTGTGGGTGCTTTTTTGTGTTATTGTTGTCTTTGTTGTCGTTGTTATTCATATTTCTTATTTCCTTTTTCTTATTTTCTGTCTATTTTTCTTGTTTCTTTAAGTTCTTTTCTTCCTCCTCCTCTGAGAGAATATGTACATTAACGGGCGTAGTTTTCTTATCGCTTATATGCTTGAAAATTTACTTTAATTCCTGTTTTAGTTACCGTAATTCGCGGGTTATTAGACGCATTTTTTCCATAAAATGTTTCCAAAAACCACCCTGCGTTCTATACACTGAAGGTCAGTGACGGAAGCTATAAGTTTAGGGTGTGGGGTGGACTGCTGCTCTCCCAGTTACATCCGATGCAGAGCCATTGAAACTAAAACAAGTCTTTTAAGCCACGTCTTATAAGCCGCGAAATAGGAAATACGATAATAATAATAATAATAATAATAATAATAATAATAATAATAATACCTAGAATACTCAATGCATATCATAGCATATGCAACACTTGTATATCTTTACTAATGAAAGGTTTCGCTTGTAGTACAAGCTTCTTCAGTCGAATATATCAGTGATAACAAGAAGTAGTAGTTCTGAGGTGATCACAACCTTAGCTTTAATAATAATATAATTTAATAATCTTTATTTCTACAAGTACATGTCCAAGGTTTACAGGTCTAGCTGACAAATTAGATCAATCTTGTCCCGCGATGCGACCCACACCAGTCGACTAACACCCAGGATGCGACCCACACCAGTCGACTAACACCCAGGATGCGACCCACACCAGTCGACTAACACCCAGGATGCGACCCACACCAGTCGACTAACACCCAGGATGCGACCCACACAGTCGACTAACACCCAGGATGCGACCCACACCAGTCGACTAACACCCAGGTACTTATTTTACTGATGGGGAACATTAGATAGCAGGTATATTAAAGAAACACGTTCTAATGTTTTCCAACCGTACTGGGGGATCGACCCCCGGATCAAAGTGTGTGAGGTAAGTGCACTAGCGATTGAGCTACAGGATACCTTGATAGATGATTTATCAAGGCTGACATATTGATGATGGTCTCTACCTGTGGCCGAAAGATCAAAATTTGGATTATTTATTTTTTTTATTATCACACTGGCCGATTCCCACCAAGGCAGGGTGGCCCAAAAAAGAAAAATTTTCACCATCATTCACTCCATCACTGTCTTGCCAGAAGGGTGCTTTACACTACAGTTTTTAAACTGCAACATTAACACCCCTCCTTCAGAGTGCAGGCACTGTACTTCCCATCTCCTTCCCAACCTGTATTCCCTGGAACGCAGGAGGGAGAGATACATGATTATATACACCTGGAAAATCCTAGAGGGACTAGTACCGAACTTGCACACGAAAATCACTCACTACGAAAGCAAAAGACTTGGCAGACGATGCACCATCCCCCCAATGAAAAGCAGGGGTGTCACTAGCACGTTAAGAGACCATACAATAAGTGTCAGGGGCCCGAGACTGTTCAACTGCCTCCCAGCACACATAAGGGGGATTACCAACAGACCCCTGGCAGTCTTCAAGCTGGCACTGGACAAGCACCTAAAGTCAGTTCCTGATCAGCCGGGCTGTGGCTCGTACGTTGGTTTGCGTGCAGCCAGCAGCAACAGCCTGGTTGATCAGGCTCTGATCCACCAGGAGGCCTGGTCACAGACGGGGCCGCGGGGGCGTTGACCCCCGGAACTCTCTCCAGGTAAACTCCAGGTCTCCAGGACTCAAGTCCGGCCTGCCGGACTAAATGGCATAGTCCTCTCCTCAATTAAGGCACAGACAATGAACCCCCACTCCAGAGCCACAGATACCAATACAAACCAAAAAATCCCCGCAACAAAATTGCAATACAATATCATTTGCATTTGCAAATATACAAGGTGTTAAGCTATCCACCAACAAATAACTTTCATTAATGGACTCCTCACAGTGTCATATGCATATGTGCGGCTTTCACATAGACCCCGCACAATAAAATATGGATATCAGGGCACAATATGTTTAGATACGACAGAAAGAACAGGTAACAAGGATGGCTTGGCCTGTATGTCTGAGTTGCTCATTTGCACAGAGTTACTAAACACCACAAATAATATAGTTGAAGTTTCGGCAATATAGACTGAGAGAAAACCTAGTCATTGTGGTTATATATATATAAGCCGCAAGATGCAGCTTCCCAAGAGTTCAAGGAACAGTAATGAAAATTGACTACTCTCTGGAAATCTTCCAACCTCAGCCCCAAATATCTTGCTGTTTGGTGATTTCAGTTTAAGACATTTAAAATGGAAAAACGTAGCAACTAATGTTATAGAAGAGATAATTCCAGGAGTCAGATCAGACTAAAATTCTCACACAAATGAGAAGTTGAATCTTTGCAATAAATTCACTTTAAGCCAGCAAATAGTGGAACTAACATGACTAGAAAATACAGTTGACCTTATTTTAACAAATAATGATCTCGTAGAAATATGACAGTGTCGAAGACAGTTAGTTAAGATAACATCCTAATCAAAGTTCAGACTTGTATGCACAGAGGTTCTGACCAACAAAATGCAAACAGTTACGAAGGTGCCTCACCAAATTAAACTTTGGTAAGAACATCAACTTGCATCAAGATGAATGGTTCAGAGAACCGACATGTTGATAAATTAGACACATGTGCAACTCTTGGGTATCTTTATTGAGGAAACGTTTCGCCACACAGTGGCTTCATCAGTCCATACAAAGGAGAATCTTGAAGAACAGGAGGAGAATGAGGTAATCAGTCCCTCAACCTTGAGTCGATGTGGTCAGTCCATCAATCTTGAATAGAATACGGCATACGTGCTGAGAAGGAGCTTATAAACCGTTGGCAGGAGAGGTGCAGAAGTCATAGGTCGTGTAACATTTGTTCAATGTTGAAGTAGGTCGTGCCCAAGAATTAGGCAAGCGAAGAATTCCCAAGTATTAAGATCCCAAGAAGTTGCAGTGTCTGACAGGTTTGTAGATGAATGGTACAGAGAACCGACATGTTACACGACCTATGACTGCTGCACCTCTCCTGCCAACGGTTTATAAGCTCCTTCTCAGCACGTATGCCGTATTCTATTCAAGATTGATGGACTGACCACATCGACTCAAGGTTGAGGGACTGATTACCTCATTCTCCTCCTGTTCTTCAAGATTCTCCTTTGTATGGACTGATGAAGCCACTGTGTGGCGAAACGTTTCCTCAATAAAGATACCCAAGAGTTGCACATGTGTCTAATTTATCAACTTGCATCAAATAAATCATGTCCTTAACGAAACATGCTGAGAAAATATCAGATAACATGGATCTGAACTAGTGTCATGAAAGGATCATTCACCTATGAGAAAAGAAGATGGAAACTAGAGAGAGACATCCCCACCACAGGCAAAGGTGAAGAATCACAGAGTTCAGAGAGCTAGATTATCCGAGATACGAAAGGAAGCACTGACTAGGGAAATATAAATTATTTAACATAAGTTAATTACTCATACAGAATCCAGGAGAGACTGGAGCTGA